CCCCCCCGGCCCTCTCACCCGGTGACGCATCACATCCACCAACGCATCCTCTTCGCGAATGTATATGTGCTCCCCGCGGGGACCCTCCCCTTCCTCCGCGGTGACCTCCTCGGTCGCGAGCGCGCCGCCGGCCCAGGCAGCCCAGTGAACGCGCGAGTACGGCGCGGTGGCCTACCCGACGTCCTGCAGGCGCCCCCCTGCGCGCCCGCTTCTAAGTCTCCTCTCATCTCCATTTCTTACAACTTTGGAAAAGAAGCGTTTTCGGGAGCGCTATTTCAGTGTGTTAGGCAACGCGCCCGCGTCACCGCCGTCCACCGCAAGGCCCACCTGCCCCGATCGAGAGCATCCGAGGCTCGCGATAATCTCCGGGGCGACAGCCACGACTTCCACGCGCACGTTGGTAACCCCTTGCCGCGCATCTTTTTCACGTGTATCATATTGTTTCTGCGGACGAGTCACTCTTCGCGCCCTGTCGTCGGGCAAAACCCCCCCTCTGTTCTGCCCACATGTGAGACACCGCGGCCGGTCGCGCGCGCGCGGGCCGAGCCCAGGTGAACGACCCGACCGGGGCCCTCGTCGTCGCATCGCCTCCTCCTAATGGATAGGGCGGCCCTCCGCCTTACATAACAGTGCAATAAGAGACAAATCTAGAAACACGTCGTTTCTAAATTTACCCGCTTTTATTTCCGTGACCCGAAACCTGCGGCGGCGGCTGGCCGGTGTGGTGACGCTCGGCGGCGGGGCGGGGCCCGCGCGCCGCGCGCAGAGCTTGGGGCTTGCCAGCTGGACGGCGCGGCGGCGGCGCGCGTTAGGGAAGGACCGAGGCCAAGGTGGGCCACCAAGGGCTCGGGCGGGGAGACCCCGTAGGCGAGCTGCCAACGCGTGATTGAATGTGCGTCCGAGCCCAGCGGGAGCAGGCCCTGGGACCTCTGGGCTCCCTCGGCGGCGTGCAAAGCGTGAGAGATCATACCTTTCTTTTAGAAACACATGTAAATTTTGACCCCCCCCCCACACCAAAAAAAAATAATTAAAAATTTAAAAAAAAGAGATATTTGTCAAATAAATGTGTGTGTATGGTATAGGGTGAGTTGGGGCGAAAAACAGTCCCATTTCATATATTTTGGTACAATTGGTAATTTATTGTACTCATGCTCACATTAATAATAATTATTAGGGATCTAGCACCCTGCACGCACATGTATGTTACACATGATGAAGAGATTGTTGCATGATTGGAATTGCAGAATCCATTTCGATGCCATAATTGTACTTTGAAGTCTCAATGACCACTTTGAGTAACAGCAGGTTAAAATAATGTTAGTTCAAAAATTTCAAGCACACTATGCAATAATTTGCAGAGCTAAAAGCTGATATTCAGAAAATACATAATACACAAAGGATGTATAACCATACTTAATTTTGGTGCCATAACTATTTTATACTTACAAATAAACCACAGAAATTAATAAGATAAAAAAAAACTTACTGCACCAAGAGATCACAGAGAAGAGTTACAATCGAAAGGTAAATTAAAATGTTACATATGAACGAACTTTGGTTAAATATGTACATATATAGGCAGGCTGAGGGAAAGACTGCTAGATGTCTTCTATCCCTCTGTAAACCAATTAACAGATAATTTGG